CCTCAAGTTCTAGACATCCAAGCACACTATAAAAGAAAATGATACTGAAGAAATTGGTGGTAGCAAGAATCCTGTGATGCATATATGAAGTTTGGTATTTTGGCTCTAAGAAAAATGGTGCACAGTGAAAGAATCAGAATCCTCTTATTTGGAGCTTGAGAAGCACTGTTCTCTCTGCTTGGTACATTCTGTCAACAAATGGAATCATTCAACAGAGGAGATAAAAATTTTAAGCATTCATGATTATATTTCCTAAAGTTTAGAGGAGGCTAGTGCATTTTAGCATGATATTTGTTTGCACTATTTTAGGTTTTACTTTTATTTTTAATGTCATTGTGCACTTTATTTATGAGGTTCCTGAGGTGCTGAATCTATTCTTTCTTGTGCATTCGCCTACTTTCTTATAATATAGTATTTCATTTGTGTATGCATTTAGAAGAGATACATACGCAAAGGAAAAAATAGCGTTAAAAAAAAAATGAGTATAGTGAATGGGAAAGGTTTGGTCGCTAGGGCCTCCCTCTGGTCCTCTATATATAGGTGACTTCTATGGATGGGAACTAGAATATGGAACTCTGGGAGTTCATTATAGAAAGTGAGGAATGGAAACCAAACTAAAGTTGTTTTGCTATCTATGAAATATTTGGAATTCTTAAATAATTTTGAAATATAAATTCAACCATAAGTTACAGCACATACCTTCCTCCTTAGTCAAAGGAGAGAGTGAGAGACACCTTTTGAGTTTTTGACAAATATATTTATTGATTACATGACAGAGTGATGCAGATCATTCTCGCAAACAAGCAAACCTGATTACTATGAAGAGTCTTGGCAATGGAAAAAATGATATTCCTTCACATAAGGCAACAGCTGCTAACGGTTCAGGACTAAGGAGACCATTAAACCAAAAAGACCTGTTACGTCTACAAGATGGTTACTCTGTAAGAAATGATGAACTGCTTATAAGTTATAATGCAGTACTATGTAACTTCAATTAGTTGACCAATTGAATCCCTTCTAACCGAAAATCCCCATGATAATGTCATTTCTTGGATTTCAATTACCTGCTTTCAAACACTTATCGCCTAGCTTTCTTTCCTTTCAGAGTCACTCTTCTGTTCTAACTGATGATGAAATAAAGGATCATCCTTGTAAAAATGGGAACGAGAAAACAATTCAGGCTGTATATTCCCAGAAAAAGGTTAGGACGTTTTGTTTTTCTGAAAGAAACTATTGCTTTAGCGGGCAGTGGTGTGGTGCTGTGCTTCTGTGACTCATCTCTTTCTTTGACAGGCTGAGCACCCTACTGAAGATGATATAAATAGTGGGTTGTATGCAGCAATGAAGAAAGAACTTAGATATGCTGTTGAAGAAATCAAAACTGAAATTGAACAAGTCTGGTTCAATATATCAGTCAACTAAAAAATATTTTCTGATAACAGTATAATTGCAAGTCATAGGTGTATCTATATATGATAACTTTTTGCAACTTATACAGGGCATTATAAGGAAGAATGGTAATCACTATCCACTGGATTCTTCAGTTAGAAGTAGCTATGCCACAAAGTTGGAAGAGGTTTGTTTCTCCATGTTTACCCTCCTTATTTGTATGTATCTTCCTTCTGGTAGTTGCAATTAGTGCCGTATCTTTTAAATTTATTATTATTAGTTGGTAGCTACATTCTCCAAAATTAGACATACAGTAAAAGTAGCTGTTTGATATTCTATGAGGATGAATAAAATAAACTTGACTGCATTTGGCATCAAGCAATCAGTAACTGAAGATTGATCTTGTTTATGTGAAATTAACAGTCTGAAAAGCGCAAGCAAGATCTTCTTGCTGAAATACTGTTGGAAGATCAAAAGGGTAGGGAGCTTTCTCGGATTGTCAAAGAATTACTTCCTGATACGAACAAGTCCACTGCTGGGATCAAACAATCGCGAACCAGAAAGGTGTGTTTTCGCCTTTAGATTTTAAATTAATTGGCTGTAGATAAACTTGATTGATTCTTGTAATATAGGGTAAACAGTAATCACTTATTTGCTCTAACGCTCTGCTTTCAACACTTCTACAGAAGAGTAATGACCGAGGCAGGATGTCAAAACAACTAACTGTGGAAGCTGAGAAATATTTAGAGGATTTCATTTCAAATGTAGAAGATACAGATATATCTTCCTTTGATGGAGAAAGAAGTGATGGCAGTTCCACTTTAGGAGGGATAATAAAGGCAAGGGATAGCGTGGTTTGTGCAGAAACTGAGAGTTACCATATTCCAGTAGGATCTGATTTTCGTCCTGTTGAAATGGATGGTGTTAAATTGCCCTGGTTAAAGTGGGAAACGAGCAATGATGGGTCAAACAAGACTGAAATAAAGACTCCTCCTAGCCAAAAATCAGTAATCTGGGATGCAAAACAGGTAAATTACAATTACAGTGCTTCTAGCTCCCTCATGTCTCATATGCATATTACACTCCACATCCTTGAACATTGTTTAAATTGAAGCATGTGCTCCATCTCAACTAAAAGCACATTAATAGTTATATGCTCAACACGACGTGGACCACCCATGACCTTTGGCACTCTGATACCAAATTGAAGCATGTGTTCCATCTCAACTAAAAGCCTAAGCTGATAGTTAGATTGCACATTAATAGTTATATGCTCAACAGTTTATAACCTCAACTAATTAGCAGTTAGCTAAATTGGTTCCACACATCCTTCCCTAGAGAAGATGATATGGCCATCGAAAAGTGCTCATTCCACACTGTAATAGTAGTAGTAATAATAATAACAACAATATCTCCATCTTGTTCGTGCCAAACTTATGCTAATCAGAGCATGGCCTAGTTAACCCATAGCTGCATGGAGTAGAGGAAAATAACTACTGTATCGAACTTCCTTTTCTCAGGAGACAGTCTTGGAATACGACCAAAGTTGTTATTCCAACAGCAGTCAGGGGAGCTACAGCCCCGGAATTACAAAGTATCATGAAATGATCAAGCTTCATAGAAGCGGAGGCGAGGAAGACAACAACTGTGACTATGAAGTTTGCCCGAGGTTTGATATGCAGGAGTATCTCAGGCTTCAGCAGAGCGAAGAGCTATTGTTTGAAAGGTATAGAGAAAGAGAGAGAATAAGTTCTGGAGGACTTCTCACTTGTTGTACACATGCTTTTAGTAGTTTAATTTTCTGATTGTTGTGTAATGTTCATGTACACTCCGTTAACAATTTGCTGTTTAATATTTAAGTCATCTGGATTTAGTTGCTCCGATCATGACCCAAAAAGGAGATAAACGAATCTGTTTGGTAACATAGTTAGCTACTTAGCTTATCAGTCAATTTTAGCTTATTTGACCACTATTAATTATTTGACCAATAGGTAACACAGTTAGCTTATCAGTCAATTTTGACTTATTTGACCACTATTAGTTATATGACTTGGTTAAAAATCAATATGAGTGTTTGATTAATTAGCTTTTTGTAACGACTTATTGTTCTAAAAGGCTAAAAATAGTTATTTTTATCAATTTTTAAGAAAGTCATTTTGCATGTAATTAGTTTATAAAATTAGCTAATGTTATCAACGAGTTAAACTCACTAATTCAATTAGCTAACAGCTATTTACCAAACGTTTCGAAAGACCATCCGGATGAGATGAGTTATTGGAGCTTCTTATACGGATGAGGAGTCAGGTTCAGAAGAGTTAAATGATACCCGTCTTGATTGCGCGGGCCGACGCACCAAAAAAAAAAAAACTAAATCCAATCAGATAACAGAAGAGAAATTTATATTAGCGTGAAATATGCATGCATGATGCATGTATAGGTTGGATTTGACTCATTCTCTACTACAAATTGAAGTGTTCTTATCTGTAGGCTACCTATATATTTATCCGTCTAGATCAGATCCCTACCTGTAGAAACTAACTGACCTCATTTTCAATTCTCCTGAATATCCTATAAATACACGTACGATATGATAGATTCAGATCGCTCCACTGCATTATTAAAGTTTTAGTTCTACTCTGATCTGATCTTCTGCAAAAACCCAAATATAATGGAGTGAACACCTGTTTTCTTCTCGGATAATTTTGAGAGATCGATCGAGAGAATAAACTGATTGAGGCATGTTGTTGTTTACAAGGATTGTTGAAAGATCAGACAACAATCCACGTAGGCAACACCATGCCTCGATCTATCTATTCTCTTGAAATTATAAGTATAGGTGTCTCTTTAAATTATTGTACTTTTTAGTTTGAGTTGGTCAGTTATAATGTAATCCCGCCTCATGATCTTTTGTCACCTATAGTCATAAGGTGATGTTTAACAAAAAAAAATGTCTATACTATTGATGAGCATATAACCATTGATGTGCAATTCAACTATTAGTTTGGGCTTTTTAGTTGAGATGGAGCACATGCTTCAATTTATACATGTTCGAATCGCGGTTTTAAATCAGTTTATAGTGGCTACTCACAAGTGATGGTATTCAACTATAAATATGGCAGTTTTACAGATCTGGTTGGCATATGAACAAACAAGTTAGTAAAAGGTCTCATCAAATAACAAAAAGAAATGCAGAATTGAATGTGATATGATGTGTGACTCAAGAACAAGCAGATCAAAAAGGAATATCATCGATCAAATCACAAAATAAAATAAAAGATGTCATGGTTGACGTACCAAGGTTAAGGAATCTCCTCATCAACACACGAGACTTAACTAAGAGGAAAAAAGAACGAAAAAAAAGAAGAATAAAAATAAGTAACTTACGTGCTTAGTTGCAGATACTTATGTTATATATTTACTTATTTTCAAATTTATTTTAGGCACATAATTTGTGTTTATAGACATATATAATTTTCAAATTTAATTTAGGTACATAATTTGTGTTCTTAGGCATAGAATTTCACAACACAGACACATAAATTATAGAAAAAATAGCACTTTTTCTTATACTTATATACTTTTTTCTCCTGAATTATTCAAATGGCTGTTTCTCCCCTGAAATGTTAAATGGATATATTTACCTTTTTTTTTTAATCATATGGAGGGGGGACCCCGGGTAGCTCAGCTATTTTCACTGCAACCAGTTGGCACGGATGCTATTTCCTTCAACGACCTTCTCAATACCCGCAGGGCATCTTTCGAGCTCTTTCCAGTCTGCTTCCATCATCACTCCCAGGAGGGCAACAGAATCTGCGGTCTCGTTCTGTTCACGAACAATACTGAGAATTGATACTTTCCAGTTCCTCTTCAGCCAATCACGAATTTCATCAATGTAGACACAAATTGGTCCTCTCAGATCGGCATTGCTTGTTATCCAGTACTACTCTTTTGGCATCAGATTGTATTTCGACATCCCTGACACCAGCTTTCCATGCCCATGAGAGACCTTTTGAGATGACCTCCGCTTCAATAACCGTGGCGTTCGCATGTTTGGATTTACCACAAAAGCCTCGGGGGTCTTTGAGTGTTGTTGGTTTGACATGCACTCGCATCTACGTTCAAGGTCCATTCGTGACCTTCAGACGGTTTCCAAATGGTAGTTCGGCTTCCTGACTTATTTGGGGCCCTTGCTCTGCATGAAGTCTCTCGACTCTCTTGAAGGCTCTTTGAATCTCATTCTCTGCTTCCTGTTGATATCAAGCTCCTCACCTTTAAAAACACCATTATTTCTCCATATCCATCCAGATCCACCAAATAGTTGTTGCAAAGAGCGTTGATCTGCTTGTTCCTTCCATCTTCTTCAATTCCTGCTCTGGCGAGTGTTCGCGGTTATCCATTCGTTGAGGCTTTGATGGTGTGCGTTCCAGCTCCCATACATCTCTAGCTTTGGGGCATTGTCTGAAAATATGGAGAGCGGTCTCCTCTTGATCTGGACAGAAGGAGCAGCTCTCCGCTTTCTCTTTGCGTTCCCCATAACTTTTTCATGAAGGATTATCCACAAGAGAGTTCTCATCTTCGCCGCCGGCGCTTCTATCCTCCAAATGTTGTTCCAAACTACTTCCTGCGCATCCGAGACATATCCATGAATCACGTTACTTCCGGTGTCCACACTGCCTCGTCGTTTCCTTGTCCTATACCTAGCTCCAGAAGAGCAATCTGTTGCTTGATGTCATCAGGGAGGGCTGAAAGTTTATCCCATCTCCATCCTTCATTTTCACTCCAGAAGTCCGACACCCAACTAGCTTCATCGTTCCATAAAAGCCAGGTTAACATCTTTTGACGCCCTAAGGCCGAGTCCGCCCATATTCTTTGGCTTAATGACATTGTCCCATTTAACAAGGCTACATTTGCGTTTTTCCGAAGTGCCACCCCAGATAAATCTCCTCACTTTTTTGTCGACTGGGAGGAAAGTGGATTGCATGCAATAATAAGGCACAGCTTGGAGGACTGATTGGGCCATAATATGTCTTCCCGCGAAGGTAAGGTACTTGGCCTTCCACCCATCAAGTCTCGCATCTATTCTGTCTAAAATGGGACTGAAAGGGTTATTTGTTACCCTCCCATGGATAGCGACCTAAATCGGCCGTCATTGGTATCCCCGCCGTTTCAACGATCTTGTTCCTTACATGTGTTGTCACGTTCTTGGAGAAGAAGATTTGGGATTTACTAAGGCTAACTTTTTGACCCGAGGCGTTATTGAATTTCTCGAGACAATTTTTTATGGTATTAATTTGGCTCTCCGAGGCTTCTGCAAACAAAACTAGATCGTCAGCAAAAAATAAATGTGAAAGGGTAGGACCATACCTGTTGACCTTTATGCCTTTCCAATTATTCTTTTGGACTTGTTCCTTTATGAGATGACTTAAACGTTCCATGCATAAGACGAAGAGATATGGAGACATAGCATCCCCTTGTCTAATGCCTCGACTAGGTATGATCCAATCCAATTGTTCTCCATTCCACAGGAGTCCAAGTTTAGCCGTTTCCACACATTCCATAATATTCTGACCCATTTGTCATTTAAGCCCACCCTTTGGAGCGTGTCTCGAATGAAACTCCAATCAAGTCTGTCATAAGCTTTTTCCATGTCCACTTTCAAGATCATGTAGCCTTTTGTGCCCTGTTTAGTTCTCAACGAGTGGAGGACTTCCTGATAAACTAGAATATTATCAATAATTTGTCTACCAGGAACAAAACTACTCTGCTCCTTACCAACAACCTCTTTAAGAATAGGTTTCAAACGGTTGGTCATAGCCTTTGTTATGACTTTGTAGATGACATTACAAAGGCTAATAGGACGAAATTGATTTGCTTTAACTGAGCTGTCAACTTTGGGGATTAAAGAAATTAGGGTGTCGTTCATCCCATCTTCCAGAATCCCATGATCATAGAACTTTCTTGCTTGCAGGAAGACCGATTTGCCAACAACTTCCCATGCCTTCTGATAGAAGCACGCATGAAAGTCGTCGGGTCCTGGAGCCTTTAGGGGACTCATCTCAAAAAGAGCTGCTTTGACTTCATCAATTGTTAAGTCCTTGTTGAAAGAATTCCAAGTTATATTCGGAATAGGGGGGAAAGCATCGTCAATTATGGGGCTGCTGACCTGGTCCCTATCCTTTGTGAAAATGGTTTCAAAGTAGGCTTTAATAATCAATTCCTCCTGGCCCTTATTACTTGCGGGGATCCCTTCATCATTTTGAAGGTGGTAACAATTTCTTCTGACTTTTTTGGTCATTGTGGCTTGCTGGAACCAAAGGATTTCCTCTTGATGCAAAACATCCTCTAGATTATTGCAGGGGACTTCAATGCCATTCTCAAGAATGATGAAGCTTCAAACCAAGACAGAAGTGGAAACCACAGGAATGGCGACTTCAGAAACTGGGTTTTCAATGAAGGTCTTGTGGATCTAGGCTATACGGGCCAGGTTTTTACATGGAAACGAGGAAATGATCAAACCACCTTCAATGGTGCTAGGCTTGACCGAGCGTTGTGCTCTCTGGAGTGGCTGGATGCTTTTCATAATACCAAGATTACACACTTACCTGCAAATAATTCGGACCACTGTCCCGTCAAAATTAATATAGATGAAGGTCAAAGGACTAACAAATCTTCTTTTCGTTTTCAAGGTGCATGGACCAATCATGCATGCTTTCTTGATGTTATTAAAACGGCTTGGAATGACACTACAGATGTTTGGAGCAACAGAGGAAACATGGCCTCAAAGCTTAAAGATTGGAATAGATCGCTCTTTGGTAACATCCATTCCCGTAAAAGGAACTTGGAAAAACGGCTCGAAGGGATTCAAAAAAGGTTAGATCAGAATCACGATAGGGGTCTAATTTACCTTTAAAATAAATATTTCATTTATTTTTCTTCTCCAACAATTTATGACAACGATTTGGTTCAAATCTAATAGACACTATAGCAACCAAACCGAATTATTCTAATTATAATTTAGAATCGAAACCCGAATTATTCTAATTACAATATAGAAATTCTAATTACAATTTAGAATCGAAATCCGATATTTAGAGTTTATTAAATTCGTGAATCGAAACGACCGGTTCATGTTCCGAACTGAAAAAAATAAAATACATTTATTGTTGAATTTAGACTATTTTAAAATTAAAAAAAATAAAAAAGTAAATACCCAAAATGGTCCCTCGATTATAGCTAAATTCACAATTAAGTCCTTAAATTCACATTGGTCCTTGACTTTCAATTTCAACCAATTAAGTCCTTAATTTTGTAATTTTAACACAATTTGGTCCTCTGTCTATACCGTTTGTTGACTGTGATTTTTGATGATATATATGTAATTTCATGGTCCACCGTCGGTTTTTTAAGGTTCCGGTTGCATTTACAGACCGCACTATTACATTCGAATCCACTGCCGAAAGCGATATACCAAATCCAGTCGCTTTTCTTCATCCTCCATTTGGATTCAATGTAGTTGAGTTCGTACCAGAGCGAAGAAGGCGAAGTGTTCCCGAACCGTGAAGAAGACAAATTGTATAGGAAGGTTTAGAAATTTAATTTAGCAATTATTATACCGTGAATCATAGTGTACATTATAAGGTGAATCACTGATATACATGTTCATATTTAATTTAATATATAATACATAAAAATGAATCTTCAATATACTAAAAATAAACATTTATTAGTAATTCATCTTATAATAATGTGAACAGTTATATTATCCACAATATAATTTGCCTTTAATTGGGTTTTGATGATCCACAATCCTTGAGAAGGTGTGTTTACTTAATTAATGTTTATATGCATGCCTACCATTTTATTTTTCTTTGAATACATGCATATTTCACGCTAAACTTTTAATTTAACAAACTCCAATTACTTTAATTTCATTCTTCCAAAAGGTTGAACCCAATTACTTTAATTTCATTGTTAGGTAATTAAAGCACTATATTACTTATATTTTTATTGTATGCATTCTTCTAAAAGACTGACCTCCAACCCTAAAGCCCCTCCTCACACCCTGGTCCGACAGAGCATTTGGGAGGAGAGAATTGAATACATGTCGAGGAAGTGCCGATTGGGTCACTTAATTACCAAAACAAATAGGAATTGAAAATACTTTCTATTTGTAGTCAAATACTATAGATCGACTCTAATCCGATAGAGTCATGTTAGAACAGATGTCTAATCCTATTAAAACAGATAATGTTAGTTGGTGGATAATTGGATAAATACAATGGATTAATAAAAAGATAAGTAGTTTCGAGATTTTTAAGGTGTGTCTAAATCAGACCATTCCCCTCTCCCAATAGGAATCATATTTAGCGTGAAATATGCATGTATAGATTGGATTTAATTTGACTCCTTCCCTACTACAAACTTTGCAAATTGAAGTGTTCTTTGTATAGGCTTCCTATTTATCCATCCAGATCCCTACTTGTAGAAACTAACTCTCATCCATCTTCTCCTATAAATACACGATAGATTCAGATCGCTGTCTGCACTGCATTAGGGTTTTTAGTTATACTATTCTGCAGAAACCCAAATTAAAGTAATCAAATCATCATAAACTAAAGGTTTGATGGAAGGAGGAGATAGAGAAACTACTGCGGCGGCGGGAGCAGCAAAGAAGGACGCGAAAGCTGATCTCAACAATTGGCTTCCGGTCACTGCTTCCCGGAACGCCAAATGGTATTATTCCGCTTTCCATAACGTCACCGCCATGGTCGGCGCCGGCGTTCTTGGCCTCCCTTATGCCATGGCTGAGTTAGGATGGTATGTATATATGCCCCTATTTTCTTATTTGATATAATTCCGATAAGACTATGCATGGAATCAATAAGATATTGAGTTTTCTTCACTGAATACTTTACAGTCACAAATTATTGCTGACAAACGTAGTCTATGCATGGAATCAATAAGATATTGAGTTTTCTTCACTAAATACTTTACCGTCACAAATTATTACTGACAATGTAATCTATGCCTGGAATCAATGAGATATTGAGTTTTTTACTCACTAAATACTTTACAGTCACAAAATATTGCTGACAATGTAATCTATGCATGGAATCAATAAAATATTGAGTTTTTTTCACTAAATACTTTACCGTTACAAATTATTGTAGACAATGTAGTCTATGCATAGAATCAATAAGATATTGAGTTTTTTTCACTAAATACTTTACTGTCACAAATTATTGCATAGTCTATAGAATCAATAAGATATTGAGTTTTCTTCACTAAATATTTTACAGTCATGAGTTATGTTTTATCATCGTTAATGGGGTGCAGGGGTCCGGGGGTGGCGGCGCTGCTGATATCGTGGGTGATGACGCTGTACACGCTGTGGCAGATGGTGGAGATGCACGAGCCGGAGGAGGGGAAGAGGCTGGACCGGTACCACGAGCTCGGGCAGTACGCGTTCGGGGAGAAGTTGGGGCTCTACATTGTGGTGCCGCAGCAGCTGATGGTGCAGATCGGAGTGAACATTGTCTACATGGTCACCGGCGGCACCTCCCTCAAGAAGTTTCACGACACCGTCTGCTCGGCGTCCTCCGCTTCCTGCCCGCCCATGACAAGAACCCACTTCATCATCATCTTCGGCTCCGTCCACTTATTCCTCTCTCACCTCCCCAGTTTTAATTCCGTCACCGTAATCTCCCTCGCCGCCGCCGTCATGTCCTTCAGCTACTCCACCATAGCGTGGGTAGCGACGGCGCAGAGGGGAATGATGCCGGATGTGCAGTATACCCCCAGGGCTTCAACCAGCGTCGGAAGGGTGTTCCAATTCTTCAGCGCCTTGGGAGATGTGGCGTTCGCCTACGCCGGCCACAATGTGGTGTTGGAGATTCAGGCCACCATCCCGTCGACGCCGGAGATGCCGTCCAAGAAACCCATGATGAAGGGGGTGTGGGTGGCCTACGCCATCGTGTTTCTGTGCTACTTTCCGGTGGCTATCATCGGATTCTGGATGTTCGGAAACTCTGTTGAGGATAACATCCTCGTTTCCCTCCAAAAACCCGCTTGGCTCATCGCTGCTGCTAACATGTTTGTTGTCATCCATGTCCTCGGAAGCTACCAGGTAAGGCAGTGAGCATGTTACATTGTAATATCTGAATCTATTGAAACACAAACAGTTAAAAGAGTCAAATATATTGTTTTGCCACTGAATCACAAAATCATTAGTAGTGTTTATACTCATTTAATTTATACTCATAATTTCTAACATCATAAATATTTATTTATTATGTAGGTTTTTGCAATGCCACTTTTTGACACCCTAGAAGGGTGGCTAGTAAAGTCACGAAATTTCAAGCCGACAAGACTACTCCGAATTACTACTAGGACTAGTTATGTTGGTAAGCAAGTTAAAAGTTTTTTAATATCTACATTTTTTTTGGGTTTAAAATTTGTATGTATTTATTTATTTATTTTTAATGCATTTATGCAGTATTAACCGCGTTCCTGGGTTGCACATTCCCTTTCTTTGGTGGGTTACTTGGTTTCTTTGGAGGCTTTGCCTTTGCACCTACAACCTACTTCGTAAGCCATCTTATTTCTCTCTCTTTAATTTTCTTAATTAATTATTCTTGACGGACTAAAAATAATGGCTTTTCTTTTGAGAGATTGATGATTCCTATTTATTTGTGTGTTTGTCATATTTTATATTTATTTAGTTTCTTGGGAACGAAAAAATACATTTTAATTTAATGTGGTATTACTTATAATGTTGCAGCTTCCTTGCATCATGTGGCTCAAGATTAAGAAGCCCAAGGTCTTAAGCTTGACTTGGTTCATAAATGTGGTATGTTTTTGGCCCACTAGCTTTTTTTATTTCACTTTTTTTTTTTTAGTCTCATATGTTATTCTGCATCATGACCTTAGTCGGCAATGGTTAAACAGTATATGTTGTCAGTCAAACAGTATATGTTCTCTATAACTAACAGTTCAAACAGTATATGTTTCAATTTTCTTATAGAACTAGTACCATTGGCCTTAGAATTTCCCTACACGTGTGTGTATATGTGTATGTATGTATGCATTGTATGATAAATTTTTTTTTTTTTGGTTTTTGCAGATATGCATTATAATTGGGGTTGCTTTGATGGTATTAGCTCCGATAGGTGCACTGAGGCAGATAATATTGCAAGCCAAAGATTACAAGTTCTATTCATGATTATATAGTGCAGTGGGCTAATATAATGTGGACAACACATTTTTATTTTTAATGTTGTCGTTTGTTAGTGGAATTAGTACTTACATATATAGTTATAACCCCCTGTTGGTAAGGTTATAAGTTATAACCACCGGTTGGTAGGGTTATATAGTTAGGGATTTAATTTCGAGGTATTTTAGTTCCTCATTAGAAGAGATTATTACTTAATCCAATAGTATAGTTCGATCTATGTATTTAACGTTTTTAATTAGAGCCGCTTGATTTTAATATGTTTGCAAATAACATGTTCAAAATGGGTGTACCTTATATTGAATAGTTATGCTGTGCATCTGTATGCACCAGATGCAAAAACGACGTCGTTTTATTAACAACAATATTTTGTTCATTCATTATGGAATTTTAGTTCATGGATTATGGAATTATAGTTCATCGATTATGGAACTATAGTTCATCGATTCTGAAATTATAGTTCATCGATTCTGAAATTTTAGTTCATAGATTCTAGAATTTTAGTTCATTCATTCTGAAAATTTTAGTTCATAGATTAGATTATGGAATTATAGTTCATCAATTATGGAATTATAGTTCATCGATTATGGAATTATAGTTTTGAACCTATTTTTTTTTTAAGGGGAGACGTGCGTTTTATAAAAACGACGTCGTTTTTGCATCCGTATGCACCATGCTTGGTGCATACGGATGCACAGCATAATTCTTTTTAAATTAATAATTGATCAAAAATTTATCTGTGAAACTTTGGCGGTTGATTCACTTAATAATTGGTTACTTTGCCACATGTAGCCCCTATGTGGCTTTATTAATTTTTTTTAAAAATAAAGAACTAATTCATTAATCCTAAGTTGAAACAGTTACAATAAAGATTGATAGAATGATAAAACATTGATAGAATGATAAAACATTCTTTACAGTCAAACATAGAAACAACTTTCCTAGCAATGCTAATGTTTTTATTTTGTTATTTAACATATATATCCATCAATGATAACCAATAAGTTCAAAATTTTTTAATATTTTTTTTTATTAATTTACAAATATGACACCATGTATTTTTCATTAATTAAAATTCTATATCTTAGTTTATCATTTTGTGTCTTTTTACATTTATCAGATAATTCAACAATTAATTTTACCAATCGACTTTAATTTCAATTGTTAATTAGCTTTTTAGCTAGGTGTGCCAAACAGTATCATATGGTATGGTTTGCATTATAAATTAAATGTAGACATCAAATAAATGAGGCCAAAGCCCAATCCCTACGTTACTGTTATACTGCTATGTTGTTTTTGGCAATTTTGCAGCTACGATTTTACTTTTCACCGGAGTTCATATGAGGTTGCTGAAGTTACCATCTCAAAGTTAGAATATGCTATTTTATTTTTTGACAAAAGCAAAGACATTTTTTTTTTTCCGGCAAGCTATGAAACAAAACATGATGTTACTTAGATCTCATGAAATAAAAACTTGTTAATGATAAATGATTTGAGTTTCATGTTGCCAGAATCTGGATATGGGTATTTGATGTCAACGACACTGACAGGATAATAGGGCTGGCACCCGACCCGGATCACAAATGGGCATTGACTCAGCATCACATGGGAACCCAACGGGCAGAACTCCAACGGTTAGGAATTCCAACAGGTGTCACCTTTATTGTCTTTGAAGCCACCATTGATGCCACCTTTGATGAGAGAGAGTTAAAGCCTCAACGCCTCATTCATGACTCTTCATATTCTTGCCGTTAGCTCAGCTCCCCAATGATGACTCTTCATGTTGTTACCGTTAGGACCTAGCATAAATAGAACTTCCCTCAGCTGAGCAGGGGACACACTGTACTTTCTATACTGAGACAAGAAGCAATACAACTATTGTTACATCTATTGTTACCTTGTCACATTATTTGTTATTCTAATATTATTACCGGTAACGTTTTTACCGTCATTGGTGCTTTCATTGAGAGCCTGAGTCCGATACTCAAGCAGGCTACAACACTACTCTTTTTCTCTTTCAACAGCAAGCCTGAAAGAATGGCGTCCCGCAGCTCCCACGGTTCTCGCAACGTGAACAATGGCAATGCCTCAGGTGACCTCTGGGACCAACTCACCAATAATCGCGGAGGGGACCTCCGAGAACAGCTCAACAACGGGAGGCCCGGGGACCTTCGAGACCAACTCAACAATGGAGGGGTAAACCAAGCCGTGAACGGGAGGTCCGGGGACCTTCGAGACCAACTCAACAATGGGGGGGTGAACCAAGCCGTGAACCTCCAGGCGACCGCCGATATCATTCAGCAAGCAGTGACGGCGGCGCTAAATCAGGTGGCGGTGGGACTGCAAGGCCAAGTGCCCACGCCGCGGCCCCAGCAAATAGGGGTAGAGGCCCAAAGAAGTGGACCGGCCAGACGACAACCAGACCCTTCCCAATCTGCGCCAGAACGATTGGGACAGAGGGCGCCCGTGCGGCAAAGATTAGGATCACGGGCCGAGGGGTCCTCTACCAGATGCCCTCGCCAACACGAGAACAGACAAGCCGAGAGATCACCCACAGAGGAGGTGGGCGAGTCTCGGGAGCCGACCCCACGCCGACACGTTGATGAGTCGGCCCTACGTCGACACTTGGAGGAGCGACGCGTCGATGAGCCGGCTCTGCGTCGGTACTCGGCGGAGAAGCGACGCGCTGATGAGCGGGTCCCACACCGACACTTGGATGGACGGAACGTCGAGGAACCCGCTCCGCGTCGACACTCAGATAGATTGCACGTTGATGAACTAGCTCCACGCCGACACATGGAGGAGCGGCAGCCGGCCCCGCGTCGGCACCCTGACGAGTCGGCCCTGGTCGAGAGGCTGCAGAGAAGAATCGAGGAGTTAGCGAGAAGGGTGGAGGCACGGGAGCAGTCGCCGGAACCTGAGGTACGGATGGCAGCACCATTCTCCCCTAGCATCATGGACGTACCTTTGCCGAGGGACTTTAGGTTGCCCGCCATCAAGGAGTACACGGGGGCCACTGACCCACGTGTCCACATGACGAGGTACAAGGCTGCTATGGTAATGATCGGGGCAGGGGACGCCATCATGTGCCGAGCGTTCTTGTCCACACTGGATGGAGCGGCCCAAGACTGGTTTAACACCATCCCAGATGGGTCGATCCAAAACTTTGGGGAGTTATCCAAGAGCTTCCTAACATACTTCTCCGATAGCATACATCGCAAGAAACCCTTCTCTCACCTCTGTGTAGTGAAGCAAGATAGAGGCGAGAGCCTCAAAGACTTCCTGATCAAATGGAAAAAGGAAGTCAATAATGTCTACGACTTCGACTCCAAGGCGGCGATCCCGATATTTATCCATGCCTTAAGATCAGGGTATTTCCACAAGCAGCTGAACGCTCACCACCCCCGCTCTTACGAAGATCTGATGAGGACGGCTAGCCGCTATGCCGAAGCAGAGGACTTCGACAGGAAGAAGAAGGACGAAGAGGATGGTAGGAAAGATGGGAAGCCTGGGAAAGCTGGTCCGCCCAGCCAGACACCACTCTCGAACCACCTGACCGCAGGGAAAGGCCGAGACCACGAACGGCCTCGCCTGGTCCCCTTGCGTAATTTGACTCCTCTTACCCATCCCGTCAGTGTCATTCTAAAGCAAGCTGAGGAGATGGGAATGGTAGAATTCCCCGAGGAGTGCATGAAGGTCTCCCCAAAGGCAGACCAAACAAAGTACTGCAGGTTTCATAGGCATGCCGGACACGATACGGATGAGTGTCACGTTTTGAAGAGACAAATAGAAGACCTCATCCAGCAGGGCTACTTCCAACATTTCGTCAAGCGATCCAAGCAGCAGCAACAGCCGCAACACAATCCACCAAAAAATGTCTGGAGGAATGAGGATGGCACCGAGCCGTCCACCTCAAACGCCAAAAAAAGAGACCACGACCAAATATCTGAGCAGAGTGATAGCGAGAAAGAAACCGAGGTGGCGCCCAGACGACAAAAGAAGCACACCATACACTTTATCTATGGTGGACCTGCAGGGGGCGACACGCCTGCGGAAAGAAAGAAGTGGAGCCGACAGCTATACGTGGGAGAAGTGGCGAGTCTTCCCAGAGAAAAGAAACAGAGACAGGAGGCCATCACCTTCTCTGATGATGACCTCCCAGAGGGCCCGTTACCCCATCGTGACGCCCTGGTAATTGAGATGGACGTCAATGATGTCATTATCCGCCGCATCTTAGTCGACACGGGAAGCTCAGTCAATGTGATGTATTACGATGCCTTCACCAAGTTAGGGATACTTAGGAACCAGCTCAAAGAAGTACGTACCTCACTCTCTGGATTTACGGGTGATTCAGTGGAGACGGAGGGGTCAGTGGTCTTACCAGTGGAGATAGGCACGAGCCCTAACATTCGCAAACTTGACTTGGAATTCATCGTGGTAAAACTCACTTGCGCGCACAACATCATATTGGGGAGACCGGCACTGGAGAACCTCAAGGCCATAGTGTCGGTGGAACACTTGTGTATGAAGTTCCCCACTCTGAGCGGGATAGGGGTCGTCAGAGGAGACCAGCGAGCGGCCCGCAGTTGTTACGTTAAAGCATGCAAAAAGATTGGCAGAAATGATCTATAAGTCCACACCATCTGTAAGGATGATCGATCGGGTATGGAGCTAGGAACATTTGATTAAGTATTTTCCATAATATTCTAGTAGTCGTTTGGAACTGGTGTTTGGAAATCGCGGTCCGCCCGCTTTGCATTCTGAAATCTTTTGGAAAAATATCTCGTGCTTGCGGTCCGCCCATGTTGTTTAAAAAAAAAAAAAAATTGGCTGAGGGTGCGCCTCAGCCAAGGCCGAGGCACAAGCCTCGGCCAAGTGGCCGAGGCTGCGTCTCGGCCACAGGCCGAGGACGCGCCTTGGCCGCCTCGGCCCAGTGGCCGAGGTCACGCCTCGGCCACAGGCCGAGACCGCGCCTCGGCCACATGGCTGAGGAGCACGCCACGACCCCGAAAAAAAAAAAAAAAAAAAAAAAAAAAAAAAAACGATCGGACGAGGCTACGCCTAGGCCGCGATCAGCCGAAGCGCACGCCTTGGCCACGATCGGTCGAGGCGACGCCTCGGCCGCGATCAGCCGAAGCGCACGCCTTGGCCACGCCTCGGCCACGATCGGTCGAGGCGACGCCTCGGCCACGATCGGTCGAGGCGACGCCTCGGCCACGATAGGTCGAGGCGACGCCTCGGCCACGATCAGTCGAGGGGTTGGCCGAGGCGCCCGCCTCGGCCAACGCCGAAGTCCGTCTCAGCAAAAAAAAAAAAAAGAAAAAAAAAAAACACGATCGGTCGAGGCTACGCCTCGCTGCGATCAGCCGAAGCGCACGCCTCGGCCACGATCGGTCGAGGCTACGCCTCGGCCACCTCAGCCGAGGCGCACGCCTCGGCCACGGTCGGCCGAGGCGCACGCCTCGGCCACGATCGGTCGAGGCGACGCCTCGGCCACGATCAGTCGAGGCGACGCCTCGGCCACGCTCGGTTGAGGCGATGCCTCGGCCGGAGGCACGCACCTCGGCCAGCCTAAGCCGCAGCCCGTCTCGGCCAGCATAAAAAAAAAAAAAAAAAAAAAATTCATGTGTGATTTGGAAAATAAAATCACATACTCGGGATCAATCGGGATTCTCCACGATATCAAGCAAATTCAGCTTTACTCCCAAGTCAACTCAAACACATCCGTTGCCTCAGGAGTAAGGGGGACTGGTGACAGGATAATAGGGCTGGCACCCGACCCGGATCACAAATGGGCATTGACTCAGCATCACATGGGAACCCAACGGGCAGAACTCCAACGGTTAGGAATTCCAACAGGTGTCACCTTTATTGTCTTTGAAGCCACCATTTATGCCACCTTTGATGAGAGAGAGAGTTAAAGCCTCAACGCCTCATTCATGACTCTTCATATTCTTGCCGTTAGCTCAGCTCCCCAATGATGACTCTTCATGTTGTTACCGTTAGGACCTAGCATAAATAGAACTTCCCTCAGCTGAGCAGGGGACACACTGTACTTTCTATACTGAGACAAGAAGCAATACAACTATTGTTACATCTATTGTTACCTTGTCACATCATTTGTTATTCTAATATTATTACCGGTAACGTTTTTACCGTCAGACACCTTTGGGAGTAATAAGAAAATGGGTAAAAAAAAATATAAAATAGTTACAATATATTAATTATACACTATAACTTTCATGTAGGAATTTATATCCACTTAATACGTCATGTCAAATGTTTACCTGCATTACTGAAAAGCAATTTACTATTTGAAAAAATGACAAGATTTATGAATGTTCAAGGGTCTAATTTTAATTTTTTAATTTAAATGACTCAATTACATTTTTGTGTGTAATTCAATAACTTATTTTATCCCTATTCCTACTAAGTTTACAACTTCTTTTTGTTGGAGTAATATAATATGATGAGACGATGTGATATTAGTGATGTTACATTTTGAATAGCATGATGATGACTCAATAGTGGCATATGACGATGTGTTACCCCCAAAATTTTGCCGACTAGCTTAGTGGACAAAAAATTTCGATGCATTATTTTCTTAGGAATTCAACTTTTCAATTACAATATTGGCAAACGAAAATGTTTGAATTTTATTTGTTTGTTTTTTTATTTTGTTTTTTTTTTTTTTTTTTTAATTTTGTTTTTGTTTTTTGTCATGCATTGCTTCATAAGAAAAGGTAAATTGCACTAGCAAAATTTTGCATAATTAGTTCAATTCAACCAAGATACTGTTGCATTTCTTACTTTTGTTAACTAGACACGATGTATAACAACCTTGTTTGGTTTGTGGAAGGCTGGAAGCCACACAATTTAGAAAGATGACACAAGGTGATTATTTTTCATCATTGTTTGCATACTCAATATAATTTAATGAATATTTGAATGATTTATCAATTCTCTGCAAATTAAAACAAAATCAATGTATTTTGATTGATTGATTGTATTATAGTTTACTCAAAATATTTTAGGATGATTTTAGAATGTATATGCTTTACAATTTTAAAATGAATTTATAATAAAACACGTTAGTTAGTATGTTACAAGTTAAAATATATGTCAAAATCATACTTTATATATATATATATATATATATATATATATATATATATATAATCGAGGATGAAAGTCAACTGTGATAAATATATAGATAACAACTCTTCAACGTGATTTTTTATTTTATTTTTTATTTTTAGAATGGGGTCCTTACCTGGAGTGTGATATGAAGGAATAGTGTATTCATGTGCATGATCGGGGTTTATATTGAGTATTGCAGTGATTTAAGAACGAATTAGGATAAATAAGGAACGATATAAATAATTTGCTATTTAATTAATAGCGTTGATATGAAAAGACATACACACATTAGAGCAACCCCCACCAATGTATCACTATTGGGGTTTTATATGTTAGAAGAAAAAAAAAAAAAGGAAAAATTAAATATAACATAACCAAAAGTTGGTGACGACCCTCAACGCGCACTAACATTATTTTTTTTTTTAAAAAAAAATTTCTTAATAGGACCCACTAGGCGAGAAAAGATCATTCACTTATCAAGACTTAATCTCTTCTCCCTTCTTTAATTTTCACCTTATCCATGATCCTACCAACAAAATTCTAAAAAAATCACTGATAAGCAAGCCCTTAAGATATGCTTAATGAGCACTAGCAATGAGAAAATGAACTAGTGGGTTCATGGGCTGCAACCGGCCGATTATGGCTCGTGGGCATTGATGGGGATTGTGTAATCATTATCATTATACTATGGAATATAATCCACATTGTAATATAAAACACTGATATACATGTTCATTTTTAGTATATATATTGAATATTTATTTTTAATGTATTATAAATTTATTTTTTGAAAGTTCATTTTTAGTATATTACAAATTCATTATATTTTCTAAAAGTTCATTTTTAATATTTTATAAGTTTATTTGCAAGTATTTACATAAAAATAAACCTATAATATATTAAAATGAACTTTCAATATCAATATAATAAAAATAAACATTTAAACGTAATTCATCTTACAACGTAGATTTCAGTCTACATTATAATTTGCCCACCCTATAAATTCACTTTGACAATACTAGTTATACCATACTCAATTAAAAAATATAAATAGTCTAAATGTTAGGGGTGAATATCTAAAGAGTAATATTTCAGGGACAATAGTAAATAATTGAGAAATTAAGGGATCAATAAGTAATTTAATCCCTCCATTTAACCATTCTCGTTTGCTTTCTTTCTGCTTGAAGCTCAAATCTGCGATCTGAATCCAATCGATCACCAGTGAGACAGAGAAGCAGATTAACAATGGCAGTTGCAGGGCCCGACCCGTTGTTTGGACTGAGAAACAACTTCTACTTGGGAGCATACCAAGCCGCCATCAACAACAGCGAGGTCCCTAATCTCTCCCCGGACGACGTCGTTGAGAGAGACGCTCTCGTCTTCAGATCCTACATTGCCCTCGGCAGCTACCAGCTCGTCATCAGTGAGATCGATGCCTCAGCCTCTACTCCTCTCCAAGCCGTCAAATTGCTCGCTATTTACCTCTCCGGCCCCGAGAAGAAGGTCGTTTCGAATTCCCCTTCTCTCTCTGTTGCTTCGACTTTGATCTCGCCTCTATGGTGGATCCGGTTGGGAAATTTCAGGATTTTAGGTTTGATTTTGTGGTTCCGCAGTTCGACTTGGTTAATTTCGTTCCAAATGCGTCGAATTTTATCTGAATGAACGCGTAGATCTCTTTAGTTTTGTTAGCCGTGGTTCGATTTTATTTGCATTTCAATGGAATTGAAGATCTCTGTTTTTTTCAACTTCCGTTTTGGTTTTCGCTGGAAGCTAAAAAGACAAGCTTTTGAATGTTAATTGTTTGAATATGTATGAGAATAGTTGTGTTGATCTCATTCCGAGGGGAGTGCATGATTTGCTTCTATTCCTCATAGTTCGTTGATCCTTTTTTATTCATTAGACTAAACACATTCATGTCTACTAGTGACTAATATCATTTGCTACCACTGCCTATAATTTACTGGTTGTTTTTGATTCAGTAGACTAAGCACATTCTTCATTGTAGAGAGCCACCGTTAGTTTTCTATATTTTCACTACTAAAAGTAGTTTGTATAGAATGGTTACCATATTGGAAGCAGAGGCAAGTCTTTTCTGATCACTCTCTTCTTTGTTGTGTAGGAAATGGTGATTTCAAGTCTCCATGAGTTGCTAGGGGATCCAGCTGTTGGAAGCAATCCCATCTTGCGCCTTATTGCTGGGATCATTTTCATGCATGAGCAGGATTACAATGAAGCTTTGAAGTATACAAATGCTGGAGGAACTATGGAATTGTGAGTCATTATTTTTGCATTTTCTCACTATTCATTTCCATAGAGATATGTGACCTGGACCTCTCTGTTGTGTTCTTTGAATTAAGTAGTAATGTTTGATTGCTTGATTGCTTCCTACTTTGTCTACATTTCTATTTTGTGTATATAACCATCTTTTTTGGGAATCAGCTTCCAGACTCAGTATGTGTTCCGTTTTTGTAGGCATGCTTTGAATGTCCAGATCTTTATTAAGATGCACAGATCAGATTATGCTGAGAAACAATTGAGGATCATGCAACAAATTGATGAAGACCATACACTGACCCAACTTGCAAATGCTTGGTTAAACATGGCTGTGGTACTCACTGTATATTTTACTGTTGTCTTGACTAATAAGAAGTGACCTATTAGTGCATTGATTTATTTCTTTTGAATCAGGGTGGGTCAAAGATACACGAAGCATATCTTATCTTCCAGGATTTCTCTGAGAAGTACCCTATGACTAGCTTGGTCCTGAATGGCAAGGCTGTTTGCTGCATGCACATGGGAAATTTTGATGATGCTGAGACACTATTGCTTGAAGCCTTAAACAAGGTTAGTTTAGCATGATAAAGCTTCCTATAAGAAGTATTATTTGTCCTTGCTCTGTGTTAAGACTCAAAGACATACTGTAGTTAGTAGTTACTCCTTGGTTCAGAATTTTTTCTGAGTGCTTGATATCTTTTTGACTCCTTGACATGACATGTCCTGATGTCCTAGCTTTCATTCTTATGCATAACATATTTTGGATCCAAGGATACGCAGTTCTATTTCCAATGTGTTAATGATAATGCAGGATGCAAAGGATCCTGAAACACTGGCAAATCTGGTTGTTTGCAGTCTTCACCTTGGGAAACCATCTTCACGCTATCTCAGGTGATTCATATATTACTAGTAGGATAGAGCATATAATTTGGAATATCTTATCCAATTCTGAATATTTCTGAGTATTTTAAATAGTTAGAACTAGGGGTGAGCATTATTTTTCAGTCATTTGGTCCAAAATCAAATTAACTGAAATTTTTGGGCTCGATTAGAATTCCTATGGGTCTTTGATAACCAACCAAACAGCCAATCAGTTGTGGTCAGTTAACCGACATATAGACATGAAGTGTCATTAATGGCTGAGACCTGAAACCTTATTGACAACCAAGTGAAAAACACTTGAATGGCCATCCGCAATCATAAATGGTCAAAGACTGATAAATAGATTTTAAAAGAAAAACCTTATCAATGGTGAAACTAAATTTGAAGTTTGAAATATGGAGTGGGAGCCATCGAGAAGGGGAGGCTAGGGGATTCTTTATTCATGCTGTAATATACTGGAAATTAGCTATTAAATATCTGTGTTGGCACATGAGCCAATTGCTCTGCCTCTGCATGTACTCAGTGGAAGAGATAGAGATTGTTTCTGAGAGGCATTAACCATAAAGTTGAGCACGCAATGGGAAACTGGGCCTTGAGCATGTACCGTATGAGTTTTTGGCATAGTGGTCAGTTTTTTAGTTGGTTTGATTTGGCATTTTACAAAATTGTCACTCCTTAGAATCTCGATGTTACTGGTATCCGTCAAACACTAACCTTAACACTTTCAGTAATTAGTTATTGTGGATTTTAGATGAGCAAACTTTGGTTTAGTAACTAGCATAGATGCTTTTCTGCCTAGTTTGCTTGAGCTTTATATTTAATAAATCACTTGTGATGATTTGTTAAAACGAGTTTGGATAGGCTTAATAACAGTTTATGGCTTTTGAAAGGTTGTTTTAAATTCATTCTCATAAGCTATTTCAAGGAGCTAATCAAAGTAAGCTGAAACAAACGCTTTTCAAGGACTAGTTAAAATGGCAAACCGATATAAGCTATTATGATCTATTGAAAAAAGTTTATTGAGAAGAATTCTCTATTGAAAAGTGCTCATTGACAAATGTTCCATCTTCAAATTGAGTTTTTAAAGCTGTTTATCTAGGCAGGACCTAAGTCTTCAATCCTGCTCCCAAAGCCTTTAGACAAGACATGCTACAAATGCAATATTTCTCTGCCTCATTGTCATTGTGTTACTTGTGTTGAGTCTGAATCTGTAGATTCTATATTTTTATTTAGGGCGTGTTTGGTTCATGGGTTTACACACTAAGAATGGGAATCAAAATCATAGTTATTGTTTGGTTGACAACTTTTTAAGACACAACTATATGATTTGATTACCCCTTCAATTAAGAATCTCATTTCCTAATTAAAAAGGGGTATATTCCATCCTATATTGGTAATTTGATTTTTAAGTTTGGAGTGCTTTCAAATTTTTGTTTTGATTTTTTGTTCATATTAGTGCTTTGGATATCATTATATTAGTATCAATTGCCTTGATTTATTGTTTTTGTATTTTTAAAACTGTTATTCCCATTATAGGGTCATACATAATCAAACATTAATATTGGTTATCATTCCAATTCCACCCTACCACCAAAGTACCAAACATGCGAAATACTTTCACTAAAACCCATTACTATTACCAGGTATTTGATTCTCATTCCGACCCGATTCCCATGTGCAAACCAAACACACCCTTAATGTATACACCTTTTTTGATATGGCAGTGACCTGTGTGAGTTGTGGGATGGATGTAGCTCATAAGGATACTTAAAAGATTGAGAGAATAAAAGCAATTAATTCTATTTATGTGTGGATAATATCTAATCAAATACAAACATTAGATTTCCTCTGAATAAATTAAAATTAAAAATTATTTGTTTACTTATCAAATAATAATAGTAATAATGTTTAAATACAGAGTAGTTAGTTTTAGCTCCAATGCAATGAACAAGTATATAAAAAGATTAAGTGATTGAAACTTGGTTGCACAATTTTAACAAACTCTAAAAACAATATGCCAACAAGAAGGGAAAGGAATTTCTCTTGGCTATGACAACAAGAAGGTTCTCGTTTTACTTGGATGAGCTGTGTCGGTTAATGATGTCCATAATTCTTTTGGAAGTCCCTTATTTTATCTTTTCACTATACATAAGTAGTAAATTTTTTTCCCTCTTGATCTGACAGAGAAAATTCTCTTGGGTTTGTTGTAACTCAATTATATGATTCTCTGCAAGCATCATCTTCTTGACCTACTGAAATCAGGCATGCTATGAGCATTGCCAGGGGTTGAATATATTGCATCCATTTCATTACTATTACAACGTTATAATTCTTAAGGCTTCATCAAGTTTACTTCTCCCTCAACAGCAATCCTAAATATAAATCTACTGACAGAAACCCGTGTTTTGTATCACTTTGTTTTGCAGCCAATTGAAATTGTCTCATCCGAATCACATGCTTGTGAAACGCTCATCTTCTGCAGAGGAGACTTTTGACAGAGCGGTGCAAACTATTGCTTAAGGAACCCCGAGGCATGCAAGTTTTACCACCCTAGAGAAGAGCTATATCAAGACTGAACCAAAGGCACCAACACTGCATTTTGTCTTTCCATCCAACAACTAAGAGAATGGTTTGTACTAAGACTGTTTATATTAAACTCACTGGATTTTCATATTGGAGTCGTTTTATAGTTTGTTGCACCAGATCTTTCCTATATACACATCATTTTCTCACCTTCTTCTTTCCCTTTGTGTACTTTAGAGAAAGAAAAGAAACATGCTTTCGCACACATCGAATAGTTCAGTTGATTCTCGAGTGATAAATTGTGAGAAAGAAAAGATATGTATGTACGTGTCTGAAGTTGTTTGTGGTTGGCTGTTGCTAATAGTTATGGGCAGAAACGAATTGCAGTTCTCGAGGCAGAGGCACAATTCTCAAAAACTGAAACTTTATCCCTTCCAAGTTTGAATTTTATCAAGATCATTATCTACTGTATGTGACCTGGCCCGATGCAACATCCTTCTTATCTGCTAATCTCCTCTGACGCACATAACGCCATGCATTCTCAAATTTTAGACCATCACGTTATTCCACTTGTTTTAGTCTTTTATTCGAATCACATTTCAGTGCTTAGTAACCACCACTTCATATAATAACAAAAAAGATAAAAGTTAGTTCGCACGACTTAGTTTACTGGTTCAGCCGGTAGTATTTGGGAGAAGAGATTTAGAAGTGGCTGTGTGGGCAGATTTCCTTTGCGCACTGTTGTACAATGTTATAAGTTTGACTTCCATTACTGGTTCAGTCGATAGTATTTGGAAGAAGAGACTAATGATCAAATTTCCATTACTGGTTTAACAGACAGTATTTGGGAGAAAAGACTAATGATCAAACTTTAGAAACGGCAGTGTGGGCAGATCTCCTCTACATACCGTTGTACAATGTTATAAGTTTGACTTCCATTACTGGTTTAGCCGGTAATATTTGGGAGACGAGACTGATGATCGAAGTGTGGACAGATCTCTTCTGCTTACCGTTGTATAATGTTATAAGTTTGACTTTTAGTGGAAATAAATCATCCAATTGAGTAAATACCACACTGCCATGTTTATGCACAACCTATAGCAATCTTCTAGCCAAAAGATATATTAAAACAAAAAATGGGATAACGAAATGCATCATAGCCTTGTATCTATCCATACAGACATAATATCAATGATCAACCTCCACTCTGAACTCTCTATATATTCCACCATTTCAAACTTGCACTCTTCATTCTCACAGTATACAAAAAAAGGAAGTATTTTAGCACAAGTACAAGATGTCGTTAGGCTTTGAAAATTTCATTCATTCCGGTAAAGGGAAGGGTGAGATGGGGTACGACGTGCCGGAGGGAGTGGACGTGAGGGGAAGATTCGACCCCGACTTCGCCAAAATTCTCAGCAAGGATGCATTGCAATTTGTCGCTGATCTGCACAGGGAGTTCAGAGGCCATGTTAAGTACGCCATGAGTTGCAGAGAGGCGGCGAAGTCGCGGTACAACGGCGGCGCGCTGCCGGGGTTTGATTCCGCCACCAAATACATAAGGGAAGGGGAGTGGGTCTGCGCTCCCGTTCCGCCGGCGGTGGCGGACCGGAAGGTGGAGATCACCGGGCCGGTGGAAAGGAAAATGGTCATCAATGCTCTCAATTCCGGAGCCAAAGTTTTCATGGTGCGTAAACACTGAATTATTTCTTTTGGAATTGATGAACTTGAAAAGTGGCCTTGAATCTGTTTGTTTAAATGTCAGGCTGATTTTGAAGATGCACTGTCTCCGAGCTGGGAGAATCTAATGAGAGGGCAGGTGAATTTGAGGGACGCCGTTAACGGGACCATAACCTTCCATGACCAAGCGAGAAACAGGGTGTACAAGTTGAACAAGGAGACTGCCAAGCTCTTTGTCCGGCCGAGAGGGTGGCACTTGCCGGAATCTCATATCTTCATCGACGGCGAGCCCGCCGTCGGTTGCCTCGTTGATTTTGGCCTCTATTTCTTCCACAACTATAACAACTTCCGCAAGAATCAAGGCCAGGGCTATGGCCCTTTCTTCTACCTCCCCAAAATGGAGCACTCCAGGTAATATAATTTTTTGTCACGCAACATTTCAAACCCAATCTGATCTTCAATTAAATAGGGAAGCAAGGATTTGGGACAACGTGTTTTCGAGAGCAGAGAAATGGGGTGGAGTGGAGAAAGGAAGCATAAGGGCAACAGTCCTGATTGAAACCCTCCCAGCAGTGTTTCAAATGGATGAAATCCTGTATGAACTGAGGGATCACTCCCTCGGCCTTAACTGTGGAAGATGGGATTACATTTTCAGCTATGTCAAAACCTTCCAAGCCCACCCGGACCGCCTGCTCCCCGACCGCGTCCAAGTCGGCATGACCCAACACTTCATGAGAAGCTACTCCGACCTCCTCATCCGCACCTGCCACCGCCGCGGCGCCCACGCCATGGGAGGCATGGTAATATTTCTCAAATAATATAATAACTGCATGTATAGTCTAGTCTATACTCTCACTTTATGCATACTTGATATACGGGTAAACGAGTCGAGCCGAGTTCGAGCTCGAAAAAAATAATAGGTAAGCGCGAGCTGGATCGAGCTAGAAAAATGAAGCTCCAATTCGGCTCGGTTATGAAATGAGCCGGTTTGAGCTCGAAGTTGCAAGCTTTGACCCGCCGCTCGGCTATAATTTTATATATATATATATATATATATATATATATATATTTTTCGTGAGCGGCTTGACGAGTTATGAGTCTAAAATATTTGAGTTCGAGCTTAGCTCGATTACGAAACGAGTCAGTTCAAGTTTAGCTCGAGCTAGCCTAAAACATTTGAGTTCGAGTTTAGCTCGATTACGAAACGAGTCGGCTCAAGCTCAGCTCGAGCTCAAAATGACTGAGCTCAAATCCAACTTTGATCGACTTGCTCGGCTCATTCACCTCTATAATTATTAAGTTGACTAACTTGGTTGCGTAAGCTCTCTATTGGGTGGATGCATCTAGCACCCTGTTGTTGGACGGAGGCCGATAAAGAATTTAAAATGCCAAATCTAGTAGTATCCACGTCTGTTGTATATAGCTACTAGCAATGCCCTTTTTGGCATAGTGGTAAGCACGGTCCTAACATCCTCATATTTTGTTTTGTGTGAACGTACAGGCGGCTCAGATTCCGATCCGGGATGATCCGGCGGCGAACGAGGCGGCGTTAGAGCTGGTAAGGAAGGATAAGCTGCGGGAGGTGAAAGCAGGGCACGACGGAACATGGGCGGCGCATCCAGGGCTGATACCGGCCTGCATGCAAGTCTTCACCGACAACATGGGAAACAACATTCCCAACCAAATCCACACAGCCAAGCGCGACGACGCCGCCGCCCTGACGGAGCAAGACCTCCTGCAAATCCCGCGGGGTTCCCGGACCATGGAAGGCCTGCGGCTGAACACCAGAGTCGGAATTCAGTACCTGGCGGCGTGGCTCACCGGAACAGGCTCCGTCCCGCTCTACAACCTCATGGAGGACGCCGCCACGGCGGAGATCAGCCGCGTCCAGAACTGGCAGTGGCTCAGGTACGGGGCGGAGCTGGACGGCGATGGGGCCGGGGTGAAGGTGAACAGGGAAGTGTTTGGGAGAGTGGTGGAGGAGGAGATGGGGAGGATTGAGAGAGAAGTGGGAAAGGAGAAGTTCAAGAATGGAAAGTACAAGGAAGCATGCAAGATGTTCACCCAACAATGCACGGCCACAACGTTGGACGATTTTCTCACGTTGGATGCTTACAGTCACATCGTCATCCATCATCCTAATAACAATGGACCTTCCAGGCTCTGAGATTATTATTCATATAATAATTCACTTCACTCATATCATATATCAACAATTTTATGTTTTTCATTTCTGTCTGTTTTCATTTTCTTTATAGTGTAATGTTTGGACTTGTATCCCAAAATGTTGAGTATAAAGCATATATATATATATATATAAGATAACAATAAGTTACGTATTAAAACAGAGCACAAAGTTCACAAATTGGAAGCAATATTATAGAGTTTTGGTATGTTTAGAGTAGATTTCTTGTGTTTTGGTAAATAATCTAAGACCTATTTATACATATTACAAGATTTGTCACCTAATTATGGCCAATCAAGAGAGAACTCACGTGTCAAATACCGAGTATATAATCCAACACAATGAAATATATTTTAAATACGATTTGATGGATACCGAGTATGGGTACTTGATCGATACCACCTAATAGGCCGTCAGCATTCGAGACGTGACACTCTTCCATAACCTCCAATTTATTATGCAATTATTATTCATTTATTATCCCTTTTATTACCCATAAACTCCCCTAATTACTCATTAAACCATCAATAAATTAGCCACAATTTTCCCACTATTATCCTATTAACTACCCGTGAATACCCACCCTACGCACCCCTTACTATTTTCTACTATAAAAAAGGCCAAGAACGAGAAGAAGAGGACGGCTTTATCACTTTAGAGAGAACCCAGACACTACATGTACAAAATTATCAATAAAATAGTAAATTTCTAGAATCTTTGTTTTTATTTATAACTTTTTTACATTTTATGTTCATTCAATCTGTTATGTTGGCCCGTCGAGTGACTACACTGGATCATAAAACCAACACGGTTATTTGTTGCATCTTTGACTAACTAGGTTATTTAAACTAGGTAATCTAAATACATATCTTGATAAATTCAAGACCTAATTAGATTGTTGAGTAATCAAGCTTATATGTTATATATTCCCAACACTTATTTACAATAAAATTAATGTTTTTTTTATTTTACAAAAATGGGGTTGAATATACTTTTATTTTGACAAAATTATATTATCTCATTTTTTGTTCAAACACAAGTACACCGTATAAGCATATGAGATTGTCGAAATTCCCTAAAAGGTAATAGTAATAACTTTATCTTAGTGTAGTGTTGGCTATATATAAAATATAATAATATTATCAGGTTTAAGTTCTTATCACTCTGAGATTTTTTGAACATTTTTCTAATTGTTGTCCACTAATTGGGAACTAGAAGTTAATGCTACCACTCCACCGAAAAGTTGTGAAATTTCACCTTACGGTGGAGTTAAGCATTCCACCATTCCACCGTAAAGTGGAATAGTTTTCACCTTATGGTGGAATGACTTTGCCGCAGCAGTACTCACTTCTTGGTTTGATTACTTTTCTGTGACCGAGAAGTGAATGGTAAGTGACTTTTCGAGTGTAATTTTTTGGATGTATAATTCTGGAAGTGTTGATTCTGATTCGTACGAATTAATTTCAAATTAATTTTAATTTAATTTAAGAATTAATGTTTGTAACTGTCGGACTAATTTTCAAATTAAATTGTCGGTTGATTTCGAAAGTTATATGATTTTAGATAATATGTTAAATGCCATTATTTTTTAACTATTTATTTCATATTCTTCATGTATAAATACTTGGTGCTGAGCAAATTATTTTGTTGCTAGTTTTTCGAATAACCTCAGAAGCTTTGGATTTTCCTCTCTCGAAAATCAATTTTCTTTGAAAAATTTCTGCCAACACTTCTAAAATATCGAAGTGATCTCCTGTTGTTCTAGTTTGCCAAGAGTAATATAGATCGAGTGATCAACTATATTACTATTATCCATTTTATCTTAGTAGACTGGCACTACAATTCTCCTAGCACCATCGTGAGATAGCGAATCGATTTTAAGGAGGGCGTGTAGTACACACGACTTGAATTTTTCATTGGATTTATATTCTCATAATTCAAACCCTCTATTTTTATTTTTATTTTTTATTTTGTATAAGTAAATTCGATTTATCAACTTATTCATCCCTACAATAATTAGTAGTGCCTACTTATACTTGTATAGCATACTCGGTCCTCCAAGCCACTATCATCCAAAACAATCTCCGATCCTCACAACACTAGCGACCTGCTATTGTACCAATTGTCAAAATCAAACAAATATTATTACGTCAAAATCAATAGCTAGTAGTAAATATGCAACTTTAATTTCTTATAGTTATGTAGCAATTCATGACACCTTTCAATAGAAAAATATTAGACTCGACCATCCAAATCATCGCCTAACAAATATTATAATAATACATATGCAAAAAGCCATGCACTACATATATGTATAAAGTAGAAAAATAATATATATATATATATATATATATATATATATATATATAATATGGTTGCACTCAAAGAAGCAAATACCCATGAATTAACAAGTGTCTTATAGTCGCATAATATATAATTTTTCCAAGTTTAGCAAAGATCAAACTATTTCAACCATTAAAAAGTGGAATTCGGAATAAAATACATTATATTTGGGTTGGACCGACCTATTAATCTATTATTAGTTTATAAATTAATAATATCAGTAGTATTTTTTAATTAATAAACGTGGACAAACGCCATTAGCAATTACTTTATGGGCTGATATCCATGCACGGCGGAGTCTACCCAATATGCATACATCATCCGGTTATTCTCAGCTAATATATATAATTGAACCAAGATTCACGGCGCACATTATAAATCATGCTCTAGATTTTGTACCTATACATAATATAATATCTACATTCAATTAACAGATTATTAGAAGTCTTAACACATCGAACATGAACTAACAGAGGTTGTTAATTTTTGTTTGTTAAGATTTTTGGAGTATTCGTATTCGTTTTGGTAAGGAATACTCCGACCGACATGCCACGTGTTTTATTCTTGTTTATGCAGGTTACAGGTCGGATATTCTTAGAAGAACCCGATCGTATCCGATCGGCGCATTACCCGACTGGCGTCTTCAAATCCTGATCGATAGCCCTTAGACGAGAAAGCCGAGAAGAGGCACGTGGCAGCGTTACGCGTTGACGACAGGCAGGGCTAGCGGGGTGAAGACACGTGGTTGCTACGTGGGTTACATGCCGGCCGGCCGGAGCTGTGTCTCCGGCCTAGCGGCTATAAATACTCACGGCGGCAACAATGCGAGGGACTTTTGGACGATCGATAGGCTATTGATAGAGCAGCCCGACCGCAGACAGTCGGCCCTCAGAATAGCCATTTAGATTGTATTGGGTCCTTTTACACGATCAATAAAAGTTTTACTTGCTTTAACTTGGTCGCATTACTACTTTGACCGCACTACGTGGAATTAGTACTATCACGTTTGTTAAGGTTTTAAAAATCCTATTCGTGTTTATTTGTAAACCGTTAATTAGTGTTTGTTAACATTCGCAAACACATTCAGGAACATGTTCATTAATGTTGACGAACAAGTTCACGGACGTCTTCGTTAACGTTTGTGAACACGTTAATGAATGCATGCTAAATAAACAAATACACATACATATTTATATATGATCATAATTTATTCGTGAACAATAAATAATAATTTAATATTTTCCTCCTTTCGTCCTAATTAGGAAAGCTCCTTCCGAAAGGAGCAGTGGAGCACAAAGTGTGTATATTCAGCACTTGTGGGTAACAATTATCAAGTGGGTTTACTCAAGTAGGACCGTAGGAGTAAGGCCATAGGAAAAATAGAAGTACTTCTAATATATATATATATATATATATATATATATATATATATATATATATATATATATTTAGACATAATAGTAACTTCACCTTTTTTTAGAGAGAAGTATCAAATAAGCTCATCTACTATTGTCAAGTGCTCAATTTTCACCCTGAACTAAATTAAAGTCTAATAACCACACTTACCTGCTAAATTTATTCAATTTCCTTTTTTTCAGGTTGCTAACAGATTACAAATTCAATTATTAAAAAAATAATTTAAAAATAAAAATAAAAAATAACAAAATTAAAAAATAAAAAATTAAAAAAATAAAAAGGATTTCAGCCACCGGCTGTCCGGCGATCGCCGGACAGTCGGTGGCTGAGTAGTATTTCACAGACAGCCGTGGTTGTCATATTTGAGGTCCAAATCTGGACCTCAAACATGACAGTCGTGGCTGTCCGGCTGTCCTCGCCCGGACAGCCACGATTGTCTGTGAAATACTACTTAGCCACCGCCTGTCCGGCGACCAAAATCCTTTTTTTTTAATTAAATTATTTTTTAATAATTGAATTGGTAACCTGTTAGCAACCTACAAAAAAAAAGTTAATTATTTGTAAAAAATGTTAATTGAACAAATTTAGCATGTAAGTATGGTTAATTAGACTTTAATTTAATTCGTTGTGAGATTTGAATACCTGACAGTGATAAGTAGGCCTATTTGGCCTATTTGACACTTCTCTCTTTAAACAAAAAAAAAAAGAAAAATAAAAAAAAAAAAAACAAAAAAATAGTAACTTCATATAAATTAGACAATCTCGTAGAAAAAGTGATATTCTAAATTAACATTATATAATTATGCATGTATGAGTAAAGTGTAACTAAAGTGGGTATATTTTGAAATGTTGTATCCCTCTTTGGAAACCATGGTGATATATACTACAACTCTAAAATATTCTATGAGTAGGCAAAGTAATGGATATGTTCAATTTTCAAACCCTAATTCCTTAGGTCATTGGAAACCTTGTATACTAGGTGACCTGCCTGCAGGATCCAATTATGGAATGCCTTTCTGGGTGAGAATTATCTTATTCAAGATCACTAAATTATTTTATTTTATTTTGGTAGGTCTATTGATGGGTAATTGAAATGAAAGGTGGGTGCTAAAGTTAAGCGTTTAGTGATTAAGATAAACCGAAACAAATTTAACTACTCCCTCTGTCTGATTTTATCGTTAATCGAATCAGACACATAAAATGAGACGGAGCGAGAATAATATAATGTCGAAAATTTAACTATACTTTTTGTACTTAAACCATGATGATGTGGTAAATACACTTGAATATACAATTGAATTTACATAATGTTTTTTGTAAGTGAGCTCCGGAA